CAACAACCATCAGGGAGTTGGCCGACAACCCCTGCTTCCTCCCCCGGCCGCTTCTTCCATCATCGCATCCTGTTGTCGGGATTGCAACAACCATCCGATCACAATCATCTCCGCATCATGATCACCACATAACTCCCACCATCAACACAGAAGCGACGACAGTCACCAATTCAACCTGTCGCTCATCACGGAACTCAGCATCATGGAGCCATCTCATGAAGGAACCGATGACGATCAACATTGCGCGGAAAACCATCCGGCAATCCCCGCGCATGTGTGAGAGAAGCTTGAGAGAGAGAGAGGAGAATGCCTGGGATGAATGTGTGAGCTTGGTGGTGCAGAATCTGACAACGTTCGGCAGATTATCAAGGGAAGACTCGCAAAAGAGAGACTTTAGCCACCACCATTGAAAACCCCTCTTCATCACCATGAATCACCGCAAAAGCAACTTGAATACCTTGCAAAAGCTTAGCATAGTCATAAACACCATCACGAACATCATCACTACGCCGAAACACCAACACCAACCATCACCGGCAATCGTGATCGCCGTTGTCGGTGTCAGAAGCAGCAGCACCACCGCCATGTTCCTCAACCCAACCACCGAGGAACATCACAATTCACATTCACGCCATTACCACAACAGCAACAACAAGGACTTGCTAACGGAGCAGGTGGGTGGCCTTACCTGCCAGTGACGGAAGCGAAAGCCAGCACTGTTGTTAGAGCCCGCAAGAAGTCGACAAATCTCTGTTTGACTGCTTGGGCATTGACCGACGATAGTGAGACTGAATCCAGTCCTCTGCACACCAACATAGCACGACGTCAGACTCGATATCCTGTCAGACCACAGGTGAGTTCCATCAAATTCATAGAAAATAAAAAAGGTAAGGTTCTCAGAAGGACTTGAAAATAACTCTTCCCATGTTGTCCCCACTTTTCTTCTGATGCAACCATGCACAGCACACTGCACAAACGCGCACTGCAAGTATGATGTCAGACAGAGACGGACGGATGGACGGACAGACGGAAAGGCAGGCAGGCAGGCAGGCAGGCAGGCAGGCAGCCACACGGACGGACGGACGGACGGAAAGGCAGGCAGGCAGGCAGGCAGGCAGCCAGCCAGCCAGCCAGCCACACGGACCGACCGACCGACCGACCGACCGACCGACCGACCGACCGACCGAGAGGACAGGACAGACAGGACAGACAGGACAGACAGAACAGACAGAGAGACAGACAGAGAGACAGACAGAGAGACAGACAGAGAAGAGAGACAGAGAGACAGACAGAGAGACAGAAAGAGAAACAGACAGAGTGAGACAGAGCGAGACAGAGCGAGACAGAGAAAGACAGATAGAGACGGAGACAGACAAAGAGAAAGAGACATAGATACCTGCAGATGATGATGACATTGATCCATAGCAGCACTGGTCGGACGTAATTCATTGTCACCCTTTTTGTTTTGCTCTCATCCCATCGATCATCGCCCTACAAGTCCTCAACAAAGCCATGCATAAATAAACACACACCCAACAAAACGCCCATCAATCCAACTGGCCATTTCTTCATTGTCCAAGTTTAATGCGAACTCGAGATTGCTAGAATTACTAGAATTATGATCAGCTCGCTCTTGTGGCGTAGCGCGCAATCTCTGCACGAAAAGGAGACTGCGTCACGCACCATGGAACTTCAGAAAGTTATACACACGGTTCGGCGAAGGGAAAAAAAATCATAATTAAAAAAAAGAAAGTTTAAAGAACACTCCAGAGCGCACATTTCGAGGTATCATGTGGCAGAGACATGCACAACAAGAGCAAAAAAGGCAGTGCCGATGTATGGATGAGCAATTCAAGTCCCTACAAGAGATAAAAGAGGCCAGGCTACCAACAAACATATAGCTCACTTGGTACACCTGAGAACTGTCGAAATTACAGACCCAACTTCGAATCCACACGATGGAACCAGATTGATGAAGCAATATTCCTGAATTGGATGAAGCCGAACAGCTCAACAATGATATCTCAAGGCCATCTCCCTTTTTTTATGAAAAAAAAGGAGGAAAAAAGAGAAGGGAGAGATGTAATGACCCGCCAAAAACACAGACTGAGAACACTGCTGATTTCTGGGATTTGTCACTGGAATGAATGCCTTGCTGTGATTCCCGCATTCTGCTGTGGTTCCAGGTCTGTGTGTGTGCGTGCCTGCTGGTTTGCATGCCTGTCTGAGTGCTTGCCGGATGAGTGTGTGTGGGTGCCTGCTGGTTTGCATGCCTGACTGTGTGCTTGCCGGTTGGGTATGTGTGTGTGACCCGCAAGGGTACTTGTTGGTTCCAAGGCCCCATCGGGCCGGTACTTACCTGTGGCCGTGACTGTGAGGGTTGCAGGGGGGTAAACACGCCGGTAGCGGGGGGTAGGCCCACGGCACTTAGAGCAGCTGGGGAAAA